CGATTTCTAACGGATCTTTTATGACTCGAAAATGAATTTTCTTCCATATTTCTCACCGAAATTTTCTTCAACACGATCTCTTTCATCGTTGAAACTTCTCTTTCTATTTTTTTTCGATTTCTAATACATTTTTGCATCTCTCATTCTTCGCATCTTTTTTTTTTATGTGATTACGATCGAAACGAATTTTCCTCGATATTTCTCATCGAAATTTTCTTCGACACGATTCTTTTTTATTTTTCAAACTTTTTTTTCTATTTCCTTTCGATTTTTAACGCAGTTCCGTTTTCTCTCTTCATCGCGATCGAAACGAATTTCCCTCGATATTTCTTTTCCACGATATAGAAATTATGGAAATAGAAATTGTAGAATATAGAAATTATGCGTGGTCGTTCGAAATCATATTCATCAAACCGTACGAGCGACAAGTTCAGGAAAACCGGTTCCACCATTTTTCCCGTCTTACTTTACTTTTCTCTTCCAACACTTTTTATCAGTTTCGGATTAGAAACTCGATCAAATCGAAAAGAGCTCGCGTTATTAATGAAATACAGAATAATCCAAATTCCTTGAAAACGATATATACGAAAGAAAGAATGTTCGGAAAAAATCTCATCGATATTCAAATCGTGAGAGAGATCGAATTCTTCCCTATCCAATCCTCCAATCGTTCAAAACAAAATTCTTTGGAACAATAACGCAACGAAATCCTCTCCTCTCCTCGAGAATAGTTGGTTAAAAATCGGGAGGACCGGTAAGAAATGCTCTCCCGCACGCGCAACAATTCCACTCTCCTCCCCTCTCCTCTCTTCACTTCTCCTCTCCTCCTCTGTTTTTTCAGGAATTTCGGGGAACGGTATGTCGCCTCTAATAAACCCTAATCGTTCCTTTCTTGTGTGGAAATCGAGACGTTTCCCAAATCGTCTCGAGATTGGAGACCCGGCTGCCTTAAAAGTTTGATGTACGACGCAACCCGCCACCTGTCCCCTTAACCTGTCGTCGTCCCTCCCCTCCTCTCTCTCTCTCTCTCTCTTTCCACCTTTTTTCCCCGTTTCACAACGGGGCCAATGAATTTTATGGGT